CCCCAAAACCCCAAAACCCCAAAACCCCAAAACCCCAATCCTAAACCCTAAAATTGACAGTGATTAGGGCCAATATTTACATGGGCTGAGTAGATGTCATATCTCTAAAGACTCATCATAGTCTAAATTACCTCTGTCAGGCTAAGTTTATAATAAAAACTAGTGACTTTCTTTCTCTATAGTTTAGCTAAACCATTTGATGATGTGCCAAAGAGCATTATACATCTCCAAATTTCTCTAATTTTATTATTACGTCTATAGCTACAGAGTATGATGGACCATGGTTCAAAGCTTATATTCCAAATTTAGACTTAAAGCTGATTGCTTAGCTTTGATAACACTTTATGACGAAATTTTCTAGATAGGAAAAGTAATAACGGATAATTTTTGAGAGAACATTCTAAAGTTTCTTTAACCTTGAAAGCCGTTATTTAGCAGAAACTCTATGAGAATGATTCCCAAATAGACCTGATTTAATCCAGCCATCTTAAAGCTTAGATACATTAATGCAAAGTACAGGAGAGGGAAGATTAAGGCGAAATACTCCGATATTTAAAAAAATCAAGAGTCTCGAAGTTTATTAATCCGTTCTTATTTTATTCATTTGCTGTGTTTAGACTTTGAGAGATTAAACTCTGCTTTACTCTTCTGAAAAGATTTAATACTAATGTTTCTTTATTTCCTTATAGTTTTTATTTTTCAGCCCCAATAAAAATTAAACTAAAGCTGATTCTCAATAGATTACTTCCCAAAATGTGTCTAATTGAGCCCAAAAAGCTGAATAGATCCCAGATACAAAAATCCAACAAATAACATATTATCAAGACGATTTTAGATAGGAGCAGGGCCTTTCTGTATTAGCCGGATTACTTGAGACAACCCCTCTTTCTCAAAAGGATATGTATTTATCAAAACTCATACTCCTTGTTCTTCTTTAACCTGGCTTTGAGCATTTTCATGGTAGCGATTCTCTTGGACATTTCCCAAAGCGGAGTTCTATTGATACTAGCTTCTCTGAGATTTTCCTTAAAATTTCCAAACCTATTTATCAAATGACCGGATCTGGGCTTCTGCTGAGGTCTCGTATCTATCCATAACATGATCTTGAGGATCAATTCTTCTATTAGTTATCTTGTAGAGCACATCCTTGTGCTTTTTAATAGAAGGCTTCGAAATAAAATGCCTATTCGGAGACTTCACAGGTGAACCCCCCACTGTGAGGGAAGGCAAGCCTCACTGGCGTCTATCGAAAGTCACTGAAGGGTTTAGTGATGCTTGGTCTAGAAGAGAAGAAGGATCAGGGAAGATCAGATTATGATCCACCAGAGCTTCAGAACAATTAACCAAAATGCTGTTTAAGTTGCCATGATGATGCTTTGAAAATGAAGATTTTCCTTTTGGAGAGTTTAACATTGTGCTATTGTTAGACACTCTTCATGAGAATTCATTGAAGTTCTTCTTCATTACACTATTGCATTTTCTTCGATGAGAATCCTGTGTGGTGAGGTTTACTCTGAATTTTTCTTGAATAATACTTCTTTGATTATTTTATTTGATTAGTTAGTGAGCTATGAGCTCTCACTTGATCCGGGTGTTTTGGAGAATGATTATTGACACTTTTAACTTTAAACTTCTTTGTTCGGATCTAAAGATCACTCAAATCTCATACAAAACTCTTAGCCTCTCTCTTAAACACAGGTTTTCTGTTCACCTTCTTTGAAATATAGTCCCCTATGTATAGCCTACATAACATACTGAGCTGGCTGTTATTTTGAATGAGCTGTTTCATCTCATCCCCTTCATTTTGTTCTTTATTACTCCCATTTTTCCTTGTCTGGATCATCTCTACCAATGAACTCTTTGTCCTTACCTAGAACATGGTCCTTCAGCTTCTCATACACCTTAGAATTGATCATGACTGGTTCTGCTAAAAATGGTAATTTCAATAAATATTAAAAAATTGGGGTTTTGGGGTTTTGGGGTTTTGGGGTTTTGGGG